GCCTTCTCCTGGACTAAACAAGCTTTGCTTCTCTCTTTGCTAACTGTAGTAAATTTAAAATATGTAGCAAAAGTGTAGCAGAGAAAAGGTAAAAAAACGAAATTGTGAAACCCCTATTTTACTACTGCTTTGTACTTAGTGGCTTATTTACAAGGAACTGTACTCCTGAAAAGAGATTCTGCAAAACGCTTGCTAAGAAGTGTAGTTAGAAATTAAAAAAAAAAAAAAAAAAAAAAAAAAAAAACCCACCACATGCTCAGATATTCCTACATACCACAACAGTGTTTTCCACTTGTGGCTTTATCACCATGGCTTAACCTAACCCTCTGCCTGTCTTCGGTGTGCTCTTCGGGGACTGCAGAAACGAGAAGCCTGAGTATTCTTCCACAGACCAGGAGTCAGACCCCGGACTGGGTGGGGCTCCTTCCTCAGCAGGGGCACAGCCTCTGTTTTGTTGAGCATTCTCTCTGCGTCTTCAGTGTGTAAAAGAACATGTGTACTTTAAAACCACTGCCTTCCAAGCTGCCCTTTTGTTCAAGGTTTTCTTTGAAAGGCTGGCTCCCCCCACACAAGGAAGAAGCTGCTGATCACCCAAGAACACACGGATGGTGACGGAGTTAGAAACCCTGAAGGTGTTAAGTATAAATAGCATCTGCTGGCACACTGTAAACCAAGCCAGAGTGACTGCGTGCTCAGCCTGGGCAGCACAGGTGGTGCCACTCTTGTCCCCAGCCCTTCCACCAGCCATCCTCAGAGTAACCTTGACCAGCTGTTCCATCTGCCAAGAAAGAAAGAGTCTTGGCTGGGAGAAATACTCAGGAACTGGTCGGCATTTTTCTTGCCTTTCTAATATAACCCTTACATACCATAAAATGCCGGCTTAATCCTCTCCCTATTTATGGTTTCAAATCTCTTAGTTGTCGAACAATCAGTAGGCAAAAAATAAATTGCTTTGACACTAATGATGTTTACAATGACTATTTTTAAATCCCCCCTTACAGAAGGAGAGAAAGAAAATGAAAATTGTATTGGAGATGAGTTTCCCAAACTCCTCACTGTGGTCCTACTGTAGAGTCCCTCCCTGGCAAGGCTCTACCTTGAAATAAAAGTTTCAAGCCATATTAACTAATGGATGTAATAACTTCTATTTTTAGAGAATAGCAGCTAGTTCAAAATGTAAGTTTAATTAAAAGATGGTTAAATACATTTGAATCCAACATAATATTGGCTTTAATGATGTAGGATTAAAGGGCTTTAGCAGTTCCATGATAAAATAAATTGTAAACTGCATTAAGAGTCCTCCCATCTGGGTTTTCTTTTTATGGAATGCATTTAAAAATAAAGAAAGAATACCAGGTTAGCACATATATATCATACACATATACATTTAAAAATAAAGAAAGAAACCAGATTAGCACATATTATAATATACATTATAATGAGAAAAGCCATGGAAGCAAGTTATAAAACTTATTTCTCTCTCTTTTCAGAATGTACCACAGGTCAACACTTGTGCTCTGCACATCTGTAAAATGTCTGACTGCTTCTAAAGAGCTCTGTCCATAGGAAAACGAACTCATTTTGAGTATTTCCTGCCAATCGATTGAAGTGCTTGTTGTTGTTTAATAACGATTCTTAAAATATGCAAACAAGATTTCAACCCCATGTGTGAAGGACTCGTTTTTATTTGTATTCAGGACTATCTTAGGACTTTCCTGCTTCTCTGCACTTTCACGGAATGCTGCTCACTCCACACTTGGATCACACAATTGTAGCTTAGGCTGGAAGGAAGAAGAGTCGAGATAATCCTGCTACTAGTACTCTATACAAACCCCAGCAGAAATCCAAGTGGTGATTCTAATTTATTTGCCCAAAATAAGAAATCTGAATTGTATCAAAACTCTTCTCCCTCCCAATTGTTGTTTTCCCGGCATCTTTTAGTCAGAAGTCACATTTCTCAGGAAGCTTTGCTGTGACTAGCTTCCCACCTTCCTTGGGCTCCTTAAGTCAAGAGCTGTTAACAGGGACACACACATGGTCAGAATGCCGTTTCACAAGTTTCTTCTTCGATTTTGAAGGAATGTAAGATTTGAAGATTATTTTACTTTGACAAGAATATCTTCATTGCGTTGAGGTGACTGTCACTTAAAATCACATGAAACAAAATGACTTGTTACTTGACAGAAAGTGCTTAACTGTTCTGTGCCGCTGAAGCAACTGAGAAGTCCCTGCCAATGGGGGAGAAGATGAGATCACCTGCAGAAACACTTCCAAACTCCTGTGCTTTTGGAAGTGAACCCCCAAAATATTTAACACATAAAAAAGCTAATGTGAATATAAAAATGCAAATCTATAAGGTAGATAGAGATTTATTTGAGTCTAGACTTTTGAGAACAGCAAAACTAAGTGTTTCTCTGTGTTATATGCTATAGTTGGTTACCAAGAAAATGTGGGACATGTTCATTTATAGAGAGATGCTTTAGTGGTGTAGATTAATTCTTTCCACACTGAACTCACATTAAATGATCCAGAAGTCAACCTAATTCTTAAGCTTTTTCTCACTAAACTGCCCCTAATATGTATGCCACAGAAAGAGAACATTATTTTAACATGTAGTTTAATTTTGTAAAATTTAAATTTACATACCATGTAAATGTTTTTGTACATCATACAAGTTATACATTTTTTCTCTAAGGTGCTACTTGCAGAAACTATTTCAAGGAATTAGCACTTTTTAATTTGTTGGGATTTTCCTTTTTAAAAATGTTAATACTTTTTATATGATAACTTTAAAATATTGGAAAACCACTTTTTAAAAATCTAGCCCTTGTTTAGTTACTTCTAGATATGTATTTGCTTAATGCAGATGAACTTTTAAAATGTTTGTTTCAGCAATTAATTTTTCAATATGGGGTCTGAAGAAGAACATTTCCACAATTAACTAAAAACAGATTTCAAGGCAGAAATCCTTGGCACTTTGTGAAAATGTTTAAAATCATCACTAGAATTTGAAGTGGTCCTCATTTCTTATCACTCATTAAGAAATTATTCACTTGAAGATCCTAGTTTTTGCCCTGCTCGTAACCTTAGCAGGCTTACAAAGAGTTCTGCGTGTACATTGAGCCAAGTTGAATACTGTGGGTGTTGATTGGGTTGCTGCGCTATCTGCAGCCTGACTCGCGGAGCCTCATTACAGATACCTATTACATTCCTTCCTAGCCTGTAATGAGGCTCCTTGCTGCAGCCCGGTCTTCCGCGCTGCGCGTTCAGTTTAGAAGTCCAGCAGGCTTTATGAGCTGCCGGCTCTAACTTCTCTTCCCCTTCAAATGGCTTAGCCAGTTAAGAAAATGCTAATTGAATGCTGCTAATAATTTTTTAAAGGCATGTATAAATTACCTGGAAATAATGGCCTCGTGGAGCAGCAGACCAACCTCAAAATATATTTTTCCTTTTTTTTTTTTTTCAGGAGAGGAACAATGTTTTCTTATAGCATATTGTTTTTTGAAAATCATATCTTTCTGCTGAACTCAGTGCTGAATTATTTGTCCAAAAACCTAAAGGAAATTATTTAGAGAGGTTTTAGCAAATACCCATATGATGTTAGAACTGTGAATTATTTCCGGGGACAGACATGAGGGTGTTTTGTTCTCACAGTCAACTGTGCATCTTGAACAAAGAGCTGATTTGCAGCCGTCACTCCAAGTTGACAAAAAGCAGCTAGGAATCGGTGATGCCCAGGCTGCCACACAGAACCCTGCAGTGCCTGGGCATCACTACCCACTGAGACACCCAGAGGCAGCAGCCAGAGCGGGAGTGTGTCGATTCCCTCAGTCCTGAAAGGCCTTTATTTGATCAGGTGTGAATTAGAGTTGTTCATTAAATACGGTTGTTATTCGGCACAAGAGGGTAAGGGGAGACAGAGGAAGTAGCTGCCTACAACAGTAATTAAACATGTGTAACCAATTAGAGGGCTTTCCACCACCGCACAAGCATATAATTTGCTAAGTCTTTCTATGAGAATAGATGAAAATAGGTACAAAAAGTGTGTCTGACTACAGCATTCTCATGTTGAACATGTCAACGTAAATGAACTTTAAATACATAATTTCTAGTTTGTTAACAAATGGCTAAACTCTATTGGCTAATCACAATAACATGTAATTTTAGTTCATTTTGCCAAGAAATATTGCATCTGACAGCCAATTAATTGTATTAAACATGATTCATTTTAGGGCTAGCCTATATTGATATTCATTTGGCAAATCCTAAACTATAGAAATGTGCCCCTTCTGTAAGGGAAGTACCAGGGACAGAAGATGCCAGTGGCCGGGCCGCTCCAGCTCTTGAGCCAGGGGAGACTGGTTTTCTGAGCAGATACGTAAGAAATGCTTATATTTTCTTTGTTGCATTTACAAATGAAAGTATTTAGGTGACGTTTCCTACATGAAATAAATGCCTATTGATTCAAAAGGTTGTATAGAATCACAGAGAGTCTGTGCGTCTCAGCCCTGTATAAAGATAATAAATCCACACAGGGCCACCGCACCAGAATGCCTGGCTCCGCCGTCCGGCTGATGTGCTGGAAAGGTTGCGGATGAGTCTAGCAGCCTTAAGTGAACTGGCAAAGGCATCTCTAATTTTGCTGGAAATGAGGAAGCACGATGGTAAAGGGGAATCCTAATGAGCCCATCGAAAGCTGGCTTTGTACCCAACAGACAGGGTAGCTGCGGATTGTATGAAAATATTGGAAATCAATGGCTTCTATGGAATTTCATTAAGAAGCAGTATCCACAATTGATAGCGCCTCATAATTTGATGGATTGTGCTAAGAAAATGATTAGCTAGCTAGAAAGAGTCATAGAACACACACGCTGGGCCGTCAGAAATGTTGAAGTGGGGTAATTTGTACAAAATAAAAAATATTGATTTTACTTGTCTGCAAAATTTTGAAATGGAGGGCTGTCCGGCGAGCCCGCTGATGTAATCTCTCGGTTTCCTAGGCGTCCCCGGGGAAGGCGCCGACGACGTGGACAGCGGGACTGAGAGCCGGAGCGGCGGCGAGGAGGCCAGTGTGTGCCAGACCTGCTGCGCGGAGTTCTTCAAGTGGACAGACTTCCTGCAGCACCAGAAGAGCTGCACCAAGAACCCGCCGGTGCTCATCGTGAGTGAGGATGAGCCGGCGCCACCCTCTGAAGAGTTCCCAGAGCCTTCTCCCGCCAGCTCGCCCAGCGACCACACGGAGAGCGAGGCCACCGAGGAGGCCACCCCCGCGGAGGGCGGTGAGGGCGGCGAGGTGAAGGCCCTGGAGCCGGAGGACGAGCCCATGGACGTGGAGACACCTGGGGACAAGGGCCTGCAGGGCCCAGGCACACCCGCTGTGCCCCCAGCGCTGCCCCCAGGGTCCCCTGCTGCCTTCAGCATGCCCAGCACCAACGTGACGCTGGAGACTCTGCTGAGCACCAAGGTGGCTGTGGCTCAGTTCTCGCAGGGCGCACGCGCAGCTGGCACAGCCGGAGGCAGCGTGGGCGCGGTCGCCATCCCCATGATCTTGGAGCAGCTCGTGGCTCTGCAGCAGCAGCAGATCCACCAGCTGCAGCTCATTGAGCAGATCCGCAGCCAGGTGGCCCTGATGAGCCGCCAGCCCGCGAGGCCGCCGCTGAACCCCACCACCCCTGGCCCTCCCGCCCAGACCTCTGGCCAGCTCCAGGGCCTGGCCCCGCACCCGGCCCTACAACTCTCTGCTGGGCCGGCCCCTGTCCCTGCAGGCTCTGGCCAGGCAGCCCCACCTGCCTTCGAGGGCCCCCAGCACCTGTCACAGCCAGCGTCAGGTGCCAGCACTCCAGGTGGTACTGGGCCCATGGAGTCCGTGGTGTCTGCAGCCCCAAGCACAGCCCCTGCCCTGGGGTCCACGGTGCCCAGCACAGCGGGCAGCATGACACAGCCGCAGAATGCATCCACGCCCCCGGCCCTGGGCCCGGGGCCCCTCCTCAGCTCGGCCTCCAGCCTGCCAAACCCTCTGCTACCTCAGACCTCCTCCAGCAGCGTCATCTTCCCCAACCCGCTGGTCAGCATTGCCGCCACCGCCAACGCCCTGGACCCACTGTCCGCCCTCATGAAGCACCGCAAGGGCAAGCCCCCAAATGTATCGGTGTTCGAGCCCAAGGCTAGCGCTGAGGACCCCTTCTTCAAGCACAAGTGCAGGTTCTGTGCCAAGGTCTTTGGCAGCGACAGTGCACTGCAGATACACCTGCGCTCTCACACTGGCGAGCGGCCCTTCAAGTGCAACATCTGCGGGAACCGCTTCTCCACCAAAGGCAACCTGAAGGTGCACTTCCAGAGGCATAAGGAGAAGTACCCCCACATCCAGATGAACCCCTATCCAGTTCCAGAGTACCTCGACAATGTGCCCACTTGCTCGGGGATTCCCTATGGCATGTCACTACCCCCAGAGAAGCCAGTAACCACCTGGCTGGATAGCAAGCCAGTGCTGCCCACGGTGCCCACATCAGTGGGGCTGCAGCTGCCCCCCACAGTCCCCAGTGCTCATAGCTACACCGATTCCCCCAGCGTCACCCCCGTCAGCCGCTCCCCTCAGAGGCCCTCTCCCGCATCCAGCGAGTGCACCTCCTTGTCCCCTGGCCTCAACAATGCAGAGTCCAGCATCCCAGTGACGTCTGAATCCCCACAGCCACTCCTCAGTGGCTCTTCTCTGACTAAAACTGAGCCTGTCAACCTGCCGTGCACAAATGCGAGGACAGGGGACACCCCCGTTGGTGGGCAGGTTGGTGCAGTGCCCACCTCAGCGGCCACGGCAGTCACAGACAGCACCTCCACGAGCCTCAGCAGTCCTGCTCTTCCAGCAGTCTCTGACCAGTTCAAGGCCCAGTTTCCCTTTGGGGGACTGCTCGACTCTATGCAAACGTCAGAAACCTCGAAACTGCAGCAGTTGGTGGAGAACATTGATAAGAAGATGACAGACCCAAATCAGTGTGTCATCTGCCACCGCGTGCTGAGCTGCCAGAGTGCCCTGAAGATGCACTACAGGACGCACACGGGGGAGCGGCCCTTCAAGTGCAAGATCTGCGGGCGGGCCTTCACCACCAAGGGCAACCTCAAGACTCACTTTGGGGTGCACCGGGCGAAGCCACCCCTGCGGGTGCAGCACTCCTGCCCCATCTGTCAGAAGAAGTTCACGAACGCAGTGGTGCTCCAGCAGCACATCCGCATGCACATGGGAGGGCAGATCCCCAACACGCCACTGCCAGAGGGCTTCCAGGATGCCGTGGACGCGGAGCTGCCCTTTGAGGAGAAGAACGTGGAGACCCTGAGCAGCTATGACGATGACATCGATGAGAACTCCATGGAGGAAGACGCGGAGCTGAAGGACTCAGCCAGCGACTCTAAGCCGCTCCTGACCTACGCGGGGTCCTGCCCTCCCTCGCCACCCTCCGTCATCTCCAGCATTGCTGCCTTGGAGAACCAGATGAAGATGATGGACTCTGTCATGAACTGTCCACAGCTCCCTGGCTTGAAGTCTGTGGAAAACGGGTCTGGGGAGAGTGACCGCCTGAGCAACGACTCGTCCTCCGCTGTGGGCGACCTGGAGAGCCGCAGTGCAGGCAGCCCTGCTCTGTCCGAGTCCTCCTCCTCCCAGGCACTGTCACCCACCCATAGCAACGGGGAGAGCTTCCGTTCCAAGTCCCCGGGCCTCAGCCACCAGGAGGACCCACAGGAGATCCCGCTAAAGACCGAGAGGCCAGACAGCCCACCCCCCGGCCCAGGAAATGGAGGCGCACTAGACCTGACTGCCGGCCACCCCAGTCGGCCGGTCATCAAGGAGGAGGCTCCCTTCAGCCTGCTGTTCCTGAACAGGGAGCGGGGTAAGTGTGCAAGCACTTGTACAAGCACTGTGTGTGGTGTCTGTGGCAAGCCCTTTGCTTGCAAGAGCGCGTTGGAAATCCACCACCGCAGCCATACCAAGGAACGGCCCTTTGTCTGCACCGTCTGCAGGCGGGGCTGTTCCACCATGGGTAATTTAAAACAGCACTTACTGACACACGAATTGAGAGGGCTGCCTTCTCAGGCATTTGACCCCGACTTTGCTCTAGGTCCCAGCCACAGCTCTCCTCGCCTGGCCTCCAGCCCTGCGCCCACCATGATCAAAATGGAAGTGAACGGTCACAGCAAAGCCATCACCCTGGGCGAGGGCCCGCCGCTGCCCGCTGGGGTCCAGGTCCCCACTGGGCCACAGACAGTGATGAGCCCAGGCCTGGCGCCCATGCTGGCACCCCCACCACGCCGGACACCTAAGCAGCACAACTGCCAGTCATGCGGGAAGACCTTCTCCTCGGCCAGCGCCCTGCAGATCCACGAGCGCACCCACACTGGGGAGAAGCCCTTTGGCTGCACCATCTGCGGCAGGGCCTTCACCACCAAGGGCAACCTCAAGGTAAGAGGGCCACAGGCTAGAGGCTCGCAGGACCATGAGGGAACTGGGGGCAGCTCCCTGCACCACCTACCCTGGAGTGATGGCAGAGATTCTCCTTGCCTTGGCCCTGGGGATGCGGTGCCAGGGCTGTGTGGGTGTGGTGCGCGCGTGTGTGTGTCCACATGCACTCACAGGTGCACATCCTGCTAGCTACTCTGGGACCAACAGGAGTCTGGGTCCGTCCAGCGGCCTGTGCACCTGCCTCTGAGGCTCAGCCTGCTCTGGGGCTTAGGAGGATGGTGTGCGCTTCGCAACCCAGAGGGCAGGGCCAGGGCTCAAGGCACTTTTGGATTTGATAACAAAATAAACTTGAATTTTAAGCTCTTGCATATCTTAGGGATAAAACAGATGAGATTTGCTGTGCAACTTGTAGAAGGGTCTGTGTCCCTGTGACTGCAAGGGCCTGTGGGAGGGGTGCTGGGTGAGAAGGCTTCCAGCATGTGAGGGCCATTGTGTGTCCCTACTGAAGACTGCAGTAGCCAGGTGTGGGGGGCACATCCTTTTAACCCCAGCAACTCATGAGGATAAGGCAGGAGGATCACAAGTTCCAGGCCATCCTGGGCAACTTAGTGAGACCTGTCTCAAAATGAAAAGGAAACAGTGCTGGAGATACAGCTCAGTAAAGTGCCCCTGGGCTCAATCCCCAGTGCCCCCCCCCCAAAAAAAAAAAAAAAAAAACAAACCTACAGTCACATGCATCTCCTTCGAGAGACGGCTGTGGACCATGCGCTGCCGGTTCCCAGGCCCAACTCTGTGCCATCTCAGCTCAGGCTTCCACTTGTAAGGTGTGTCTACAGAGACTGGGTCTGGGAGCCTCCTCAGAGTCAGAGGTCAGAAGGTGTGGCCTCTACACTGGGCAAGCGTTGACAGGCAAAAGCCACCCAGAACCGATGGCGCTAGGAGGTTTTAGAATCCATGCCTCCTGTTCGAGAGGAGAGAGGCACAAAGGAAGGGTTCAAGTACAAGGTGGTTTGAGTAGCGGTGGCTGAGACCTTTTATCTTACAGCTCTGGAACGCTCTCTGTGGCCTGTGGGTTCACGTTGGGGGAGAGATGTCTGTTGGGTTTGTTAACTAAAGAACACGTCCGTCATGCTGTGGTTCTGTTTTCTCACTGCAACCTGATACTTGTAAGCCCCTGTAAGTTGGTCAGGAAAGCTGGCCTGCTTTGCCGTCCCTGGCTGATGTGTGGGACGGGCATCGTGTGGAGCAGTGGAGGCAGGACACACCTGCTCGCCACCCTGGACGTGCTCACTGTGCTTGTCTCTCCGTGTCCCACGCAGGTACACATGGGGACCCACATGTGGAACAACGCTCCTGCGAGGCGTGGCCGCCGCCTGTCAGTGGAAAACCCCATGGCCCTGCTCGGTGGCGATGCCCTGAAGTTCTCTGAAATGTTCCAGAAGGACCTGGCAGCCCGAGCAATGAATGTGGACCCCAGCTTTTGGAACCAGTATGCTGCAGCCATCACAAACGGGCTGGCCATGAAGAACAACGAGATTTCTGTCATCCAGAACGGAGGTATCCCCCAGCTCCCCGTAAGTCTAGGTGGAGGTGCCCTTCCACCTTTGGGCACCATGACCGGTGGCATGGACAAAGCACGCACTGGCAGCAGCCCACCCAGCGTCAGTTTGGACAAAGCCAGCTCTGAGACGGGCGCCAGCCGCCCGTTCACAAGGTTCATTGAGGACAACAAGGAAATTGGTATAAACTAGCTGAGGGCATCGATGGCCAGCTGTCCTTCCACGCCCGCGTTCTGCAGTGTGAGCATCAGTCTTCGGACCCTTCTTGCCCAGGTCCTCATTAAGTCATGCCAGTGGCAGAACGTACTTTGCCCATGTGGCTGCCAGAAGGTGGTCTGGTAAGCGCTGCATAGTCCTCCCTCCGCAGTGGGTTCGACTGTTCTTAAGAACTCTGCAACCTTTTGAATAAATTTCTGAATTTCAGTTGAAAAGCAGAAGTGCTTGGAAAACCACCTTAGAAACAGAAAGAGCTCAGACCATATCCACTTGTTTCTCTTGAAACCTAATAACCCTGGAAGGGAGAATGGGGTCCCCTGCATTATTCCAGTGAACCCCAGGCGATGGTTTTGTTCGAATTAATAGAAACTTGAACTGTTTTAGGAGCTCTTTGTCTTGCAGAGGTGGTTCTGTATTCCCAATGCCGTGTATGATGACAGTATCTTTGTCCGTAGTATTTATAATGTTAAGATTATGCGGGTAACAGACAATAAAATAGCCCCAACCTTAAATGAAGCTTTTGTACTGCAGAATACATCTGGCTGTGTGATTTTTTTTTTTTAAGCAAAATTTGTTTTACTATAAATAAGTGGATTATTTCAATGCAGGCAAACTTGTGGCGTTCTCTTGGGAAAGATAGCATGCTTTTTGTGTGCAAGTACCTGTTGGTAACAAGCCCCCCCACCTTTTTTGTTTTTTTAATTTAAAATGTTTGTAGCTGCTATGTGGACAGTTGTTCTCTAGTGTGGTCTGTAGCCCAGTGATTGATCGGGGAACAATTTACAGACAAACATCACCATAAATTATTATTCACAACATTATAAATAGTTGTGAGTAAATATTTTACGTTATCAAAGCTGTACAATAAAAAGGTAATGTTTGTATAATGTGGTTGCAAACTCTTAATTTATACAATTGCACTTTTAGTATTTTGTATTAGGGAGGTTTGTCTATAATTTGAAAATTTAAAAAGATGTAAAATATTTTATAAATAGTTCTACAGTTTAGGAAAAATGAAAACAGTTGCTGTGGTTTCTCATTTTGTCTCAAGGTCAAGCAGCGTGAGAAACCTGTGCTCGTAAGCAGGACCTCACCAAGACCTGTGCACACCTCAGTAACCCAGGCCTGCCGTTTCCTACATCCACCAGGTTCATTTCACTTCTCTGCCAAGCCCTCGTCAGAGCTGTGACCACCCTAAAGAAGCTGGCGAGTTAGTCTTAGGCCTGTGGCATCCGCCCAGGAGATAAGCGGGAGAGCATTGCGCCGTGTGGCTCTGCTGTGAGCCTCTGTCCCCTCTCTGGTTCCTTGACTGCCTGGTGGCACTGGCTATCGCATAGGGTGATCAAGAGATGGCAAGTCTCTGGCAGTGTTGGCAAGCAGGACTGAGATTTTCTGAGCTCCTGATTTGTTCATTCTCTGAGTTCCTCTGTAGACTCAGGATGCAGCCTGAAGCTGGTCACCATCTGGGCTGCGCCTAGTGAGAGAGGGTGGCGGTTCTAGCCCAAGCGCCCGTGTTGTGTGACTACCTCATTTTTGTGTGTTGCATGCATGCTGGGACCTGACACAATGACTTCCGAGGACAGGAGTGCTCAGGAGGTCTGAGGGTGGCTGGGGAACGGTGCAAGGAATTGTCTGCCCCCGAGGAACCAACCAGACAGTGAGTCTTCTCAGTTGAACAGGGAAAATAGAAAAGCCTGATGCCATCATGCAGCAGAAGGCACCCGGGAAGACGGACGGCTTCTCCGCTGTCACCCGGCACTGTGCTGCACACAGGCCCATTAGCTGTCCCTGTGTCTGGAAGGGAACGTTGGACTCTAGGACCACTTTCCACAGGGCGAGGTGTGGCGTGTCTGGGCGTGGGGAAGGCTTGGTACGGCTGCTTCTGCAGTCGAGGGTTGAGTTCATGTGTCCTTCCAGTCGATTCGGTACCATGTCCGTATCCTTCCCCCCAAAAAGATGTGTATATATCTTAAGAAAAGAGAAATGTAAGCGTGAATGGCTTGTCAGGGAGCCATAGCCTGACCCCTGCGCCCTGGCGGGCTGACCCTAGCTGGTGCAGAGACCCTATTTTTATATTGCAGCACCGTGCAGGGCCAAGGCCTCCTGGGGCCAGCTGGGACAATGACCTAGATCTGATATTTTTTATGATTAAATCTTGTGGCTTGAACATCTCCTGATTGAAATGGATGTCTTAGTCTAGGTTACTATTTTTGTCATATGGAACTGAATAAAATGCAGGATGTCACATTATTTCTGAATTGCGTTCCTTGATTCTTCTCATGAAAAAGTGGTGTTTGAGGTGACGATCGCTCGCGGTGTTTCCCTGGTGTTTCCAAGAGGAAAGTCAGCAAGGGTTGATGGCTTAGATGAAAGTAATATCTAAGCGTGTTTTGACTGGTTTAGATTTTGTTTCATTTTCCAAAATAAAAGTGTGTTCTCCTAACTGGATCTTTGTTCAAAGCTACCGTGGAAGAAGATGTAGCAGAAATGGGACGACCTGTTAGGTCTCGGCACTGCCCACAGGCGACTGCACTGGAATGGCCTCCTGCCACAGCACTTGTGAAACACCAGCCGCAGGTCGCCTGACCCAGCAGGTGCCCCTCAGAGCACATTACAGGAGGTGTGTGAGCAGGGGGGGCAGCGCCTGGGGCGGCTGCAGCCCGGAGTCCTCTGGCCGGGCCCTACGTCATCTCGCTCCAAGTCCTTTATTTTAAAGTAAGCTTTGTTCTCACAGATAATAGTCAGTCAGACTCACAGCTTTAAATAATCTAATAGATCCTGGGTTTTATGCGATGTGATCCATTTTTTCTTTAAAAATTTTTTTTTTTTTAATAAATGACAACTCATAGCTGGAAGCCACAGTACTTTCTGCCTGGGGTGTGCTGGGTGGTTCTTTTAGGAATGAAAACAGTACCAACTGCTGAGTTAGCCGACCCAGACCCATCTTTGGCAGACTTAATAAGCCTTAGAAATTAACCCATGTTGATTTTCAATGCAGGACTAGAAATTATCAACGTAAACTAACTAAATCAGATAGTAACTAAATTTTTAAAATAAGGAAATAGCAAAGATTCTATAGCCGTTTAGAATAATTAAAATACAGTAAAATGCAGGAGAAAGGGGGTTTACTTCTTGTATTTAAAAATATCCTCAGATGTAAGTCAGAGGTGTGTGGGTTTAGCACAACTGGGGACCCGTTTCCAATGCCAACTCTAGTCACTTCAACTCTTCTCAAATAATCATAAATGGCAACAAACCATAAAAATTATCTATATTCCTAAGTTCACTACAGAGACTTCTAAAATGAGGTCAACAGCAGCGTCAAAGGGCTGATCAGCTACTGCATGTAGACTCTGGACCGTGGAGCTCCCGCCACGGGAGCCTGGAGGCAAGCGTGCTCCGCCTGCCCTCTGCACGTGGCCATGCCCATCTGTTTCACAAAGCTGCGGCAGACGTCGGGCATTGCTTTATCACTGGGTTGCGTGTGTGTGTGCAGCCAGCCACCCCAGCTCATCACACGCATCCTGGCACACAGAGCAGAGCTGATGCTTGCACCATGACCCTTCTCTGGCCTGTCCCCATCACACACCCTGACCTGGAGCCTGCGTCCAGCCCTTCCTGTGGAGCCTGTGCTGGCCTGCTCATCCTGGCCCTCAGATCCCCACGAGCATCCATTGGTCCTCTGGAAGGCCTCCCAGCCCAGAGCTTCCTAGAGAGGAGGGTGTGTCGGAGGGTCAGTTTGCTCATGATCGGCAGTGTTAGCAGTGATCCACAGGACAACCTACTGATAGCAGGAAAACATTCTTTCACTTTTCACTTAAAAGGGAAATATAGCATATTCTTAACATTCTTTACAAATGGTAGACTTTAAAACAAAATCTCAGTAGAGGTGTTTCCCAGTGTTTCATGCTAGGTGGGCAGCGCGGGTGGACCTGGCCTCCCTGTGTTGCTCCATGGCCATGCTCCGCAGATACCTGGCAGGGCACTGGGGTGACGGCACCATCCCACGCTGCTTCCCTACCTAACAAGGTGGCAGAGTTTGAGGATTCTCAAGTCTTTTCCACTTCAAAAATTCCTGTTTCTAAAAAATAACTACACTATTGTACACCTTTTTCCCTAAAAAATACTCTAGACAGAATAACGGCAGTATTTATATATAGAGAGAAAATATGGTTACCTAAGAATATTATTTCATAAAATGAAAAGTCTATTATGAAAACTGCTCTATAAACTACATGGAATCATTTTGGGACCATGAAAAATGTGTTTGTATCTTTGATTTTTAAAAAATTGGACTTTACTGATTTTTTCAAGTGCCGTTGCACTTAAGGTAGAATAAAACCGAGCTCTGTGAACATTATGCTTGCTGCATTTTTATTAGAATGAATTAGAAATTTTCATTAGAAAATGGTGTGATTTTTTTCATTGCCTCGCATACACGCACACACCCAGCTTCTGGTCAGGATCGTGACCATCTTCAGAGTGCCCGGCTACAGTGACGGTCGTTGCTTCTGTGGCTTGTTAGCCTCAGCGTTCCGGGTGTCACGGTGCTGGCCTACAGCCCGCACGCCTGGCCTGCTGCTCTGCGGTGTCTCAGCTTGCACTGCAGGCCAGCGCCTCCGACTTGCCCCCTGGGCCTCCCTGGGCAGTCAGTGGGCACGGGAGCAAACTGGTGGGAAATGAGGACCTTGGTGCGACAGGAAGAAGAGGTCACTGGTGCCGGTGTCTGTGTTTGTCACCAAGGAGGGAACTGGACAGCTCACAGGGCGTGCCTGTGGAGTGAGAGATGGAGAACCTGTTCCTATGGAGTTAATTGCTGTATATGATTAAATGTGGAAATAAACGTTTAATTCCAGTAGTTCCAAATGTGATTATTTGTGAACGTAGGAATCCTGTCACCCACACACATTCCTGAATTCTAGAATGATCTATAAATGAGGGTTCTTAGGGAGAAGCGTGAGTCATGGCTTCACTTC